CAGATACATTGTTATATTAACAAACAATTTATCATAATTTAGCAGTTGGAAAGTGTCACTGATGAACGATATTTCCTGAAGACATGCACATTTAGGGGCCATTTACACAGAATGTGTTTCTGCTTTGAAAATAAATTAATTTAAAAAAATTGAACTTCTCTCTTATTATATAGTTTTATTTATTTATTTATTTATTTTTATCCACTGAAATCTTTTTTTGGTTCTTAATTCAACTCTGGTGGTCTGGTGTCTGGTGAAAAATTGTTTTTATTTTTTATGTATGTATTTATTTATTTATTTATTTACTTGCTTGTTTAGAAATATTTGCCAAATCTTTAAAAATAACTAAACCTACACAAAATGTCTCATAACCAGAATTTGTTTTCCCCCAAAGTCATCAGCAGGGGTGGATTAAGGTGGTCAGGGGCCCCTAGGCTGCTCTTTGTGTGAGGCCCCCCTTAATCATCTTAATTATTATGCTTTACTGGAGAAATGTATTTAATGCCATACATGGTCCACACACGAACAGTAAGGTGAACTTACACACACACACACACACATTGAGACAGCCAATCTACAGTGTTTCCTCTACATTCCCAGTGTCCCACAGGATTTTGTGAGACTGTGGTGGGTGCACATTGGTTCCTCTAGGGCAGCGGTTCCCAAACTGGGGTGCACAGACCGACCAGCAGGGGTGCGCGAGAGAATGCTTTTGATGATCTGTGTGCATTTTTTGAAGGGGCAAGTGAAAGAGAATTTTACTTGCCCGACCGGACAACTAATCTAATCTAATTAAAACATCGAATTAGGGAAGCACCAAAATTTCAGCGAGAATGATTCTGATTTTATTACACTTGGTGTAAACGGCAATTCATAATGGATAATCAATAGTAACAAGGTCGCGGCAGTTGAGACTATCTCATGGAGAAACCGAAACAAATGAATACAACTGCACACAGAAGAAACATACTGCGGTAAAAAAAATTAGTTTTTAATATTTATTACATAAAGCCTAGCCTAATTAATTAACATGACACGACTAAAAGAGTGCAGTTTTCCCCGAAAATCAGTACGATTATAAATTCGACATTGATTTTAAACAAGACCTCAAACGAGTAGTTAATATTAAGTGACTGGCATATATTTTAGTACAATAATGTCAATGTGACTGTTTTTGCTCGATTTGTTTAACGAAAATAGTTCCAAACAAACTTAGCAGCAGAACTGTCGTGCATCTCTGCGCAACACACAGCATTGACTCACAACATTGAGGCATTCAAACGATTCGTTCAAATCGTTGAATCGTTTGAACGAATCGTTTGAATGCCTCAATGACTCACTCATTAAGACAGTCAACTTGCTGCCACCTGCTGGCGGGTTACTTTCAAATTTAAAAGTAACTTTTTTTTTTTTTTTTTTTTTTTTTTTTTTAACTTTTCATCCCCATTTGATAAGTGCTGTTGTAATTTTGCAGTGTTAATGCATTCATGCTACATTTCAGCTTCATTAAATTGTCTGTGTAAATGCATCTAAATGCCACTTCAGCTGCTTCTGTTTCTCCAGCAGTGGAAAATTTGGTTTTGTTAATATTGATTTCATTTGACTGGTAACAGCCCTATAGAGTCTTGTTATATTAAGTGAAATTATTAATAAAATGTAAGAATTTGATATGAAAGATGACATGCATTTAAAAAGGTTAGAGGGAAATGCTCTTTTTATAGACAAAAAACAAAAAAGACCTGGAAATCAATTCAAATACATTTTTATATGCAGTAACTTTAGTCATATAAAATGTAATTTTCCAGCAACAAAATTGTGGCCAGTGAAAATGCTGAGTGGCTAGTAATTTTGGAAAACCACTAGCCACAGTGGCTGGTGAGCAAAAGCGTTAATGTCAAGCCCGGTATACAGTGAATACTTGTATTTATACTTGTATTACAGTAAAAAATGTGGTGTACGGTGGTGGGGGTGCTTGACATGTGTCAAACACTAGAAAGGGGTGCACGCTGCAAAACGTTTGGGAACCACTGCTCTAGGGGGTTCCAGGGGTATGCCCTCCGTAAGAAAATTGTTCATTTTGAATTTAAATGCATAAATCTGGTGCATTTTGAGAGCAGAATCATGTGACTAGATCAATGAACAAATATGTGCTCTTGTAAACAATTTCGTGCTCTAGTAGTAATTTATTTATTGTTTGCATAGATGTGAATGTGACGGTAGGGCACAATTTCACTATATCAATTCTTATAAAAGCTACAAATGTTATTCTGTCAAGAGCAGGGAGTGATTTTCTCCTCGTCTTTTGTTGTTTGATCATCATTAACGCCAACACTTAACTCAAGAGAGACGAGATTTTTACACATAAAAAAAAAAAATTCCAATGATCAAATACATGACTGGAAAAATAGTCTGCAGGTGCATTTTGAATTGTTTTAACTAATCATCTTGTAATAAATGTCATTTCAGTTCTACTTTCTGAGTATGATTTATCATATGCAGTAAAAGACAACAACACTCAAGCACTGTAAAAGGTTTTGCCACAAATTCAACTAGCTGGCTTCTCTCCTTCTCTCTCTCTTCAGACCTTAGAACTGTACATGAATTATGAGCTTCTCTAGAACGTCTCACCTCCTAACTGAAATAGTTTTTCACAAATTAAACATACAAATAAAAACAGTATAAATAACAAATAATAAACAAGTAGGCTACTCTCAATATTCAAAGTGCAAATTTTTCAAGCATGATGCAGAACTATAGACAACACAACCTATTATAGCCTACATACTAATAACAGCCTAGATATGTTATGTAGCCTAATTCGCGCGCATCAGGGAGTCGCTCTCAAAACGTGGGGTATTGAAATCGCTTTTGAATGCGCGTGCACGTTTTACTTTCGGTTTCGATTTAACGATTGCGTGAACTCTCAGCGATGCTGAGAGTGCATTCTACAATACAAGACATTAATTTTGTCAGATGCTCTGCAACAAATCCTCCTCTAATGTTTCTTATGGGCCAATGAGGGTCTTTTTTTCTTTGCGCTGAAGTAAAAAAAAATAGTCTGGCCAATCCGAGGCCCCTGCACACGTTGGGCCCCTAGGCTGCAGCCTAGGCAAGCCTGTGCATTAATCCGCGCCTGGTCATCAGAACCGCTCGGAGAAACGTTAACACACTATATACCCGGGCTACACTTACACGATGCGTAAATATCCTGAAGGTCTTTAGTGGCCAGAAAATAAAATTAGCATACAGCTGACATGCTTGCTTTTAGACGCCACAGACATGAAGGCCTGTAGTCAGCAAAGCCATGCCATCCTTGGAGAAAAAAACAAAAAAAAAACAGTTTTGCAGTCTCAAAAATGACACTGCATTTTTATGGAGGGCAGGCGATTTCTGCCGAGTCATACGGCCTCTCCAATTCCTCGCTTTTCCTTAGCGCACAATCACCTCTTTTCCTCCTAGTCAGAGAACAACACAGAGATGAGTATGACGTGAGGTGGTTTGAAGCCTAGACACTGAGATCACTGGAAAGAGCGAGTCGGGGGAGTGTGTATATGTGGGATCTCCAGGGAAGTTTTTCCTCAGTTCTGAATCCCCAATCAGCACTGTAGCATGCAGTCACATCCAGCCATATGGAAATACAGCAGCAGTTCTTAGTGCTACACACATAATTTACAAATGCAAGCATGGTATCTTCATGCAAATTACACTGCAGGGCTGAAAAAAAAAAGCACAAACCAGCTGTGCAAAATCTGAATAACAATGAGAAAGCAGTCCTACTACAGCAGCACTGGAATGTAAATGGCCTTTATACTGTTTCCTTGAAGACTAATTAAGCACACTAACCACAATGATTTCGAATCTTTCATGAAATTTTAATGTAGAAGTTACAGAGTTTTTTTGGAGAGCTCTAAAAGCATTTTTGCTGCTTGTTTAATTTAGCTCATTAAAATTACTGCAATTTTTTTTTTTCATTTTGTAAAATCGATACTTAACTCTTTTACATGTTACAAAAGATTTATATTGGACTCTTTTGAACTTGCTATTCATCAAAGAGTCCTGAAAAAAATTTATTATGGTTTCCACAAAAATATTAAGCAGCAACTGTTAACTGTTTTCAACACTGATAATAATAAATGTTTCTTGAGCAAATCAGCATATTAGAATGATTTCTGAAGGATCATGTGACTCTGAAGACTGGATTATAAATGCTGAAAATTCAACTTTGCCATCACAGGAATAAATTACAATGCAAAATCTATTACATCAGAAAACATTTATATTATATATATCATATTTATATTAAACATAATATTATTTCACAATATTACTGTTTTAACTGTGTTGCTTTGCTTTAACTGTATTTAATTAATTTCACTGCAATGAGCTGCGGACACAGAGCTGCAGAAGACAAGAGTTTGATTTTGGATTGTCATTCACCAGTTCCAATCCCTCTGTCTACTGTCTCTATCATGGAAAAAAGTGGGGGAAAAAATATTCCCTAAAAACTACGAATACATCTCTTTGGCCCTTCACTTTAGTTACAGACTGCGATTGCCATTCTCTTTGAAAAGCAAACTGTATATATATATATATATATATATATATATATCCTCACATATCAACGCTGTGTTTCATCTCTCTCCAGTTCTGCCATTTGTGGTTTCATCTCTGGGGCTTGCAGGGTATTAAGCTATTAAGTGAGTCAGACCCTCAGCAAGATTGGATGCAGTCAACAATAAAATCACAACACTGTCATAAGCACACAGGCCGTCATATCATAATAACAAGATAAAGGTGGCACAAAATGACTACGGAGCCATTCGCACAGGACACGTGAACTACTTTTAACATGCCATGGATGTGATGCAATGACCAAAAACAACAATTATTATTCTATTCAATGTTTATTTAACTCCTTCACCTGCCACAATAATGTCTTTGAATTATGTTCATTTTGGGGACCGTCAAACATTTTAAAAAATCTTTTTTCACCAACTTACCTTCTTTAGGTTGGGAAGGTTGCAGAGGGGCTCCTGTGGATTGTCATTGAGAGTTTTACTTCCAAACAAAAAAACTCAAATCCAATGGTGATGGAAACCCTGCAAAGGCAAAAAGAAATTTTAAAACACTCTCAATTCACTTTCTGACAATTCAAATTAAATGACAATATCGTTGAGAGCAACAAGAACAAACGAAACCGTTTGAATGCATATAACCCTAAAAGACAGCAGGCTCTCTGTAAGGATTTGGGTGATTATTCAAGTTAGCTTTAAGAATATTTTAAATGCGTCTTTCTTATCACAATTTGCTGACTATTATTCTGCACTGAAATGTGTCAACAATCCAGGTCACGGTTTATTTGTGCGGTGTGCGTACGTGTACAGAACTTGTGTCTAGTAAGAAATGTTCTGCGTCCACCCGTTCACTTCTCTGCTCGTCCCAGAGGTTCTGATTAGAGGTGAAATCACAACTAAAACATCTGGGTCATTCGGAGTCTTCACACATACACACACACACACAACCAAATCATTGGGCTTCCGCTGCAGTGAGATAAAATACTGTCCCTCCATGCAAACATCTTGCGGTTTTCTTTTCACCTCTAAACATAAATCAAGTCCAACCCATCTTAGAGCTGAAGAACACAAGCTGACAACTGGCTGGTAATACAGAAGGATCCGGTTCAATCCCTAGTATATTTATTCATTTTTCAGTTTTTATCCGAATACTACAACAAAATCGATTTGATTCAAGACAGTAACACGTACAGACAAAATTATAGTACTGTTAGTGGTACAGGATTAAACTGTCTGGTGACTAAATATATCAGCAAACTGGCTGGGCAAAATACAGCTTGCCTGTTTACATTTAGGGGATGATCTATAACGGTTTATCATTTAAAATAATGAAGAAAAATAGGCTTGTCTTAGGAAGAGGTTTTTGTTTAGTGTATCAAGGGCTCTCAACAGTCTAGGAAAATCTGTTAGTTAGCAATGGTTGCTAAGGCAATTACAGTTGACATGGCAAGCTCGAATCTGATTGGCTGACTTACACAACTTCCAGGAGTAAGGAAAAACCTGGAAACTTACCAGGTTGACACAATCAGTGCTTTTGAGCATTTGTGTGTTTTCCACATTAGCGGCATCAGAGTTTTGTATGAAGCACTTACTAACAAGTTAACTTATTAACAAGTGCTGCACAATTTGGTGAAAAATGCTGTGATTTTTCAGATTTTTCTGTGAATTTTATTATGATTATTATTATTACAAAATAAAAAAATATTAAACTTGTTTGTAGGGCTGCACAATTGGACCAAAACAGTGATTATTTATATATGACTATAAAATAATAATAATAATAATAATAATAATAAATCACTATTATTGTAATTTCTATTATGATAATAATTATTGTTGCAAAATAAAAATAATTAAAACAAAATTATAAAGTGTAAAACAAAAGTGGCATTAAAATAAATTTGACTTGACCGAAAATTTAAATGTCTAGTTGTCTTTACGTTAAAGACTTCGCTAACAACACTGCTCTTCTATGGTCTCAGGTGGTTTCTCTCCTGTTTACACTCACACAGCAAGTATGATTCACATCAACAGGGAAGCAACTCCTTTAACGCTCATTCATCTTCACTTCACAAATTCATGACATTAATATGTGTGTGAGCTAAATGTTTGCAAAAATTCCCATTATCAATTATCATAATTATTGATATGTCCTCAAATGGCAAACTGTAAAAAAAGAAACCCTAACTGGCAAATCAACAATGACCCAAACTGATGAAAACACATGACTAGTATTCCTCTGCGATATGCTATCTATAATTTACAAGTGTTTTGACTTTGTAGGTGATGGATCCTTGCCAACTGGTTTACAACATCCAGCAAACCATGCATCTGATAAATCAAACAACTGCTTACTGTATATTTAAAATAAAAAGAGCAATCATGCATCAAATTTAGAAAATGGCAAAGATAAAACTGCGTTATTGAGTCCACATGATGGTAAATCAAATTTAACCCGGAAATAACAACAACAAGGAAGAAATCATTGTAAACACCGTTTTAAAGCTTTTACAATGTTTTTAAAAACTGGTTACCATCTGCACCAAAGCGGCAACAAACAGAAAAAAAACAATGAAGTTTCAAACACTCCCATTGGCTAATCAAATCAAATAAAAATTCCCGCCCCAAACTCACACCATTGGTTGAACCAATTTGCTATTCCACTTGCACAAACTGCAGTTCCATTTGCTACCACTGGCACAGATATTACACACCTCACCATTAAAGGAACACTCCACTATTTTTGAAAATAGGGTCATTTTCCAACTCCCCTAGAGTTAAACAGTTGAGTTTTACCGTTTTCGAATCCATTCAGCCGATCTCCGGGTCTGGCGGTAGCACTTTTAGCTACAGCTTAGCATAGATCATTGAATCTGATTAGACCGTTAGAAATGATATTACGCAGCGCCTGAAAATAGGCTTATTGGAAGTTACCTAGCTGGGGACTATTTTCAGGCGCTGCATGATATCATTGCGCCTGCTGCACCCATGGTACGGCAGCAAAGTTCCTCGATTATTACGCCGGAATGAGAGTATAGTTCCTAGCCAAATCGGCCTAGAATATCGCAACTTTTCATTTTACGTCGGTCTTAGTACACAATGTAACTACAGAAGAGTCAAGTTTTAAATAGAAAAAATATAGAAACTCTTTGGTCATTTTTGAGCGAGATGCTAACGGTCTAATCAGATTCAATGATCTATGCTAAGCTTCACTAAAGGTAAATTAGCCTATTTTCAAAAATAGTGGAGTGTTCCTTTAAAACGGCATTGAAGTGGAAATTTACCCTATTTATCTATCTTCTTACTGTGAACGATTTATCTATTCATGATTTATTTTTATTCATCTATTCATGATTTATTTTTATTTATTCAATCTTCTGGTGAACATGACAGATCACAATCAGTTCATTCACAGAAACCCCGGCCCTTTCTTACAATCGATTGCAAGCTTGCATTCAGATCTGCCTCCATTGAATCAACAACCGATAGACAGAACCAAGACCCCGTCCAACATTTTTTTTCTTTTCAAAAATCCATTTCACTTGGACGTGCGTAACAATATGGAAGAAACAATCATTCGCTACTTCCGTTACATCACGACTTTAAAACAAAACTGGCTTGACCATCAACACTTAAGTGTAATATGCTTTTGATCTTACACACACAGTTCTCTGAAGCAGAGTCCAACGTGAAACGCAGAGCATGAGAGTGTACAGCGAGCAGATGGAGGCATGCATGCATGCGGGTTTGGGTGGAGTGGGTGGATGTTGAGAGCTCTGGGCATCCAAAAGGACTCGTCACTCCAACCCACACTCCCACAATACAGTCACATGTCCCTCTGGACACAAGGCTGGCAACCCAGCATCGGGCCATAGCATCCCTCTGAGACTGCCAAACCAAACTGATATCGGCTCCAGTTTCATCCCTTGAAGAGCAAGGAGGAAATGTAGGATGACTGCGAAAAAACTAAAATGCCAGTGAATTGCCTTGGACCAGCCAATAAAATTACCATGAGTGGAACTTTTAGTTTTCTTGTTTTCATGAACACACTTTAATCAAAAGCCTGCCTGACACTGAACAGAGCCAACAAGGTCAGAATGGCATTGTGTCAGCGGCTATGTATTCTGTAATGCCTTCCAAGTACAATAAGAAATCTTTGCAAATCAAAGTAAGCTAATCAAGATCTGTTGTTGTGCTCTTTGAGAATTGCTGGGTGGCCAGAAGTTTATACTTCTTATAGGTATGTTTTAAGTTTGGACGAGAGAAATCAAACCACAGCATCCCACTACCAACGCCTTTCAAAAGTTTGGGGTCAGTTTAATGTTTTTGAAAGAAGTCTCAAAATACAGTGAAACAATAATACACTTAGAACTTTGTTTTGTTTTTTAAATTAGGCTAATATATTTTAAAATGTCATTTATTCCTGTGCTGGCAAAGCTGAATTTCCAGCATCATTACTCCAGTCTTCAGTCAGTGTAACATGATCCTTCAGAAATCATTCTAATATGCTGATTTGCTGCTCAAAAAAGCATGTATTATTATTATTATCAATGTTTAAACAGTTGTGCTGCATAATATTGACTACTCATTATAAACACAACCTACATCCCAAGAGTGTTTGCCACTATTAATATGTTACATGTTTTTTTGTCATTAGCTAACAGTTTGTAGATTCTTCATGTGTGAACATTTAACCAATGATATGCTTCTTATACGTCAGAAAGCGTGACCCTGCCCGCAAGACCAACTGACCAGAACAACAGCCAAGACATACTGACCACCACATGTAGTTTGCTTCTGCTACTACAATGCTTGCTTTTATGCCCAGCCTCCACATCCCAAACCACAGAGTTCATCATCCATAACACTTTTCCCAGTATTATAAACACTTACTCAGTAAATCAAAACATTAACCCAATAGACTGTTTGGACCACATAATTTCTTCATGAGAAGTAATAGTAAACATCCATTTCAAAAGATCCTGCACAATTTCCACTCCGCGTGAAGCACTCTCAATGTAATTTCCTTTGTACATACTGTAATTCACATTATCTTTTATTGTTTGTCAGAAAGAATGAAGAATATCTATCATCCAGCAGTTTTAATTTTGACTGCCAACTCTTTAAAATACATCAAAATAACACTGAAAAACTATTATGATGAAAAGGTGAAGAAGTTATTCTCAGTACACTCATCACCATTTAAATCATAATGTTTGAAAAAACAGATTTGAAATCAGGTGTAAGGCCACTGAGCCAGAGCATGCTATTGTTGCTCCTAAAATATTAATGTTTAGAACAATGCAAACAAAACCATTAGAAACTCATACGAGAGTTCATCACACACCATGAGATAGAGAGGTTAAAAAGAGAAAAACTGCATTAAATATAGAAGTATTTCCGGGGGAATACTTTAAAAGAAAACACACACACGTACGTCTCTTTGCGTGGCCGCGGCAGTCTGGAAGAGAACAAGCTGCTTTATCAGCAGCATCTACAACTGAATGGAACAAAAAGTGTTGAAC